GTGTTCATAGGGTCACACCTTCTGACCTGTGAGAACCAGGGGAGCCCTGTTCATAGGGTCACACCTAGTCCTGACCTGTGAGAACCAGGGGAGCCATGTTCATAGGGTCACACCTTCTGACCTGTGAGAACCAGGTGTCTCAGACATCTGGTGCTGTTCTAATAGGAATACCACAAGTGGATGGATTTAGCAAAGAGAAGTTTATTCTGTAACAGTCCATTAGGCTACAAGTCCAAAATCAGCGCATCAGCTGCAGGAGAAGGCTTTCTCTCTGTCGGCTCTGGAGGAAGGTCCATGTCATCAGTCTTCCTTTGGTCTGGGAGCTTCTCTGCGCAAGAACCTCCTCTCCCTTGCCATCCCGGCCGGCTACCCATTCTGGGTACTTCACCACCCCCGTTTCCCTCCTGGGCTGAGATTGCCACATGCCTCCCAGGGTGGGGGCTGGGCATTGTCTCCTCTGCAACCCCCTCTACACCCTGAAAGTGCCAGGGCCCTACCTCACTGCATCACCAGGATGCCCGGAGGTAAGAGGGGGTGGTCAGCCTCCCTACCACCATGCACTGGACAGCTCCTGTGCTCCCACTACAGAGCTGCTGGCAGGGGCACCCCGGCTGTGGCATTTGAGGCAGAGCACCCCATGGCCCCAGCTTTCACTGAGACCCCAGGTGCTCAGCACCAAGGAGCCACAAGAGAAGAGACCAAAAGTCCCTGGCTGGATAATGGCCAGCAGCACTTCGTCACCTGGGGACTTTGTCCTCAGCCTCAGGGACCACGTGTACTCCTGGAGCCTGCCAGCATCAGATGTTGGGGCCGTCCCTGCACCTGGGGTGAGCCTGGGGCCACACACCTGGCCCAGGCCCCACTGTGCCCGGACAGTGGCTCAGCAGGCTGACAGTGCAGGGCTACCATGCGACCACGCTGTGCTTAGGGTGGCGGTGCCCTCTCGGGCCGGGGCACAAACTCCGGGGCTGGCATCTGCTTTCCACTTCCCGAGGCTCCACCCACTCTGAGCGCAGGCGTGCAGGGGTCCGTGGGGCCCATCCCCTTGTGCAGACTAGGAGGCTGGGGCCAGCATGGAGCAGAGAGCTGGGAAAAGGGAGTCCAGCAGGGAGTCTGAGGGTCTCCCAGGAAGTGGTGGGTAGTGGGTTTTGTGTGGACAGCTAGGCTGTCTCCTCGGGTGAGACTGGCCTTTCTTGAACCACTGGGCACTGTGGGGCCGGTGGGAAGGGCAGGCTGTCTGATCAGGTCTCCCAGCCTACCAGCCCCATAGCACCCACACCCCCCACGGGTCACCGGGCCTTGGCCAGCCCAGGAGAAGGATGACGCGCCAACCTCCTTTTACTATAGCCTCAACTCTCAGCCCCCTAGAAACCTGCCTCTCCCTCAGCCCCCCGGAAGCCTGGCTCTCCCTCAGCCCCCCGGAAGCCTG